ACAAAGTTCGAGAATGATCATGAATGTGTGTTAAAATTTTCTCCTTCCTGGGCAACAAACTGTATTATAACCTAAAAGGTGTTTCTTTATAAACAGTGGTTAGATTCGTCGAAACTGATGTTGATAGTTCTTGTTTTCAGTCGGTACGTGTGTCTGCTGGTTGTTCTTATCACCATCAATGGTAACACACAAAGTAAAGGGGACTGTGCCAATGATGGCCGAAACGACAAGTATTTGTTTTATAAATGGTTTATATATATTAGTAACAGATTTTTACTGTCAATGTTGATCAAATTGATGTCGTTAATTATGTACATTATAGCCTATGATTCTTTATTTTTTTAGAGAGGAATGCTGTACAAATTATTATATGGTCGAGGGAATCTGCAGAGGTTTGAGACCATTTAAGTATCTAAGATTTTAAAATGATTTTTTTTATAGCAATGTCTTTTCATATTGATCACTGTTTAATAGATATACGCACTGAATAAATTCACAGTTTGATTTGTGTTACTTCACAGCCTGCCCTCCAGGATACTTTGGAGAGCATTGTGCCATCGCTTGTCCTTATCCTTCCTTTGGAGTTACCTGTGGAGACGAGTGTAAATGTAAAAGATCTGACTGCAACCATGAGGTGGGATGTTTGAGCAATGGTAATATTCCTTTAATTAAAACGTTTGTTTGCATTCAGTATTTTAACCATGCAAACCTTACTAAGGATAAAGGGTGTAACAGATTTATGAGCTATTTTATATTTCAAAGTCATCATCTATTGTATTATTCATATCTTTTATCATCAACATCAAATCGATTATTCTTTGATTTAGGGATTGTCACAGACGTTTCAGCATTACAAACAAGTTCAAGTGTACTCAAGTATATTTCTGATATCGAATACAGTACAAGCAATGTTTGGAACAGATTTATAACAACAAATCACGAATCTGCTTCGAACAGTCCGTTAGAAAACACATTATCTACCATAGTAATCTTTATAGTAGGAGGAATTCTAGCCTTTTTTCTACTTATAATCATCGTCAATCAAATCCATGGAAAAGTGAGCAGAATGAAGAAAGAAAGGGTGTCTAGAGACTCAAATAATCAACAATCAGGTGGACGTCATAGTGAAGAATACTGTGTTATTGATGAAAGTCAACTCACTGGTTCACGATATCAACACATAGAAACAAATAATTCCTCACAGATTGAAAATAAGAGTGATGAAGGAGACATTACTGAAAAATCTCCGGATCAGCCATTGCTTCCAACCAGACCTCTCACAAACCCCACCATGCTTTCCTCCCAGGTCGAGGTGTTCCTCGATTATTATGGTACAGCACATGGCAATTCCATCAGCAGCAATCCATCCAGCGATGGATCGTACGAGAAACCGGTAAACAATGTCAGTAATTACGCAAAAGTAATTGACACAAAAGACGGAGAGATTTTAGTCTTTTTAGACAATAGCTCAGAATCATCAGTGAACCAGTCCTCAGACATTCAGGACTTTAAACGTGATTTACATTCATCAGAGCATCCTGAAAATGCACCAATTGCAAGTCACTCTCAGCAAAACATTTACCTGGACGTAATTCATAAATGATAAATAAAAACTTTATAACACAGAAAAAAATGTACACTTTTTAACTTGAATTTTCAATGTTCACCATGGATTAAACAACTGATATGAAATATTTTACTTTTAAGAAATGGAAAACGTTAATTTACTTAATTTACTGTATTTGGTCATTTGCAAAAGGATTGATAAAAACATTCTGGTTGTACACAAAGGTACTCTGAAGCTGATAAAAAAGATGCTTGAGTTTCTGTTTGACAATATCTATCTGGTTTTGGAAACATGTTCTTCAAAACTGTATTGGAATTCTCATTAGTACCAATTTTCGCCCCGTTATAAGCAGATCTTTTTTTCATATGAAGCAAAATTCGTTCAAAAGCTTATACATGAAAAGAAGAAAACACTTGCTGTTGTCTTCAACTCAACATGTAGATATATCGATGACGTATTATCAATTTACAATGCTTATTTTCATTTTTATGTCGATGCGATATGTCCCGGTGAGCTTAAAAAAGGATATCACAGATTTTTAACAGACCTGTTTCATATTTAGAAATTTTACTTTAATGATAATGATTAATCTATCAACGAAGCTTCATGATAAACGTGTTGATTTTAACTTTTCAATCGTCAACTTCCTATATTTATGCAGCAATAAACCTTTATCACAAACATACGGAGTTCATATTTCGCAGTTGATTCGGTACTCAAAAGCATGCTCTACATATGAACAATATCTAAAACGAGGTAAGTTTTTGATTTAAAAAAGTTGATGAAACAAGAATATCAACAACCTTGTCGTAAGGTCGATGATCGATACAATGGCCTTATCAGTAAATACAATATTTCATAACGTCATCAAGGCTGAATAAAGGTTTTTTTAGAATTGGTAGTCCATTATATACACACTGAATTGTTGACGAATTTTTTCCGTTTTCCTTTTTCTATGATGACATAAAGCACGGGGCGGGTGTGACTGGTCGGCAGAGAATGTTTATTCCTTCATCGGTTATTGCATAGGATTTACCATTCTAGTATAACTATGCACTAGTCTCATTTACAAGACGTCAACTTTTTGGGCTGATACAGATCCAGCATTGTTGGAATGCATCTTGAAGTGTCCAGGTTAACATTCTAGAATGAAATAAATAAATCATTTTATTTTCCGTTAATTTTTTATTGTATTTTATCACTAAACACGTAATAAATAAATAATTTTGCTTTGCATTGGTTTATAGGGCTGATACAGTGTGTGAAAAGCAAAGTAAAAAGGCATGTAAAAAATTGAAGATAGCAAACAGTGACTGATACAATACATACCTGTGAAACTGACACAAAGTGTGAGTTCCTAATAATTACAGGGGCGATATCAAGTGATTATGAGGAGTGTAATATACACTTAAAATAGCGAAAAATATTCTGTTCATCCAATATACATGATACATAATATTCTTCAATTTGTTCTCATCTTCTATAAGAAAGCAAAAATCCTCTGTTTCTTGTTGTGAAAGCAATCTTTTTAAAGTATGACCCAGTTTTACTTCTTCATTATGATTTATAATTTCTGTTTGAGAGGAATGACAGGAATTGATATTTATAAAAGATGAAAGAAGTATACGTGAAAGAAGAATAATGTCCTCTCGGTGTTGCCTGATTAAAAGCTCTTGGCTCAGATGTCTGTACAGTCCCTCCTCCTTAATGCGTATCGGAAATTACTGTTAGCAGCTGTTCCTCAGTCTTGACACAAAACCGCACAGTTTTGCAGGTATAGTGTTGTTCCTTATTAGTGTATTAGAATATTACACTAATCAACTAACTTTTTACAATGTAGATTATCAACTGAATCCGTCAGATGATAAGGGAAAACTTTACAAGAGAAGACAGTTTGGGAAGGTGTGAATGAAAATGTCTTAGAATTTATTTTTGGTAGAAAGCTGCGCGGAAAATAAAATTGAGCTTTTTTTATAATAATCTTAATATATTTTCCAGAAAATATATTATGAAACAAATATTGTTAAATATTTGAACCCAAAAACTATAGTTATTTTCATTTAAAGCTTTAGAATCATTTATTAACAAGGAAATAGAAAAATTTATACATTTATATTGAAGAACATTGTAGTTATCTATAGAGTTAAATAAGGAAATAAATGTTTTCGCAGCAAAACGCGTTTCAAGTGTTTCCCAATTAGTTCATAAAAATCATATGTACATGTATAATTTTTGAGTGTTAATTAATCTGTGTAATAAAGGACAAGGTTCATAAAGGGTCTTTTATTTGCCCAGTGAATTTTTTAAATAAATTGATTATTTAGTTGACAATGCATTAAATAAAAATTCAACCCTTGTTGACTGCGATCTAATATAATAATAAAAATAATAGGTTATAAAGTATTGAATTTGCCATTGTTTCCATATCCTAAAATCCTGAATATTTTTTGCAAGAAAGGCCAAACTTTAAAGCTATTTTTCAATATTTTGTAATGAGCAAACTTTCTAATCTAAAATGTGCAACTGATTAAATTGATAGAACTCTTTCTGAAGCTTACAAAACAGGGTTTTTTGTGATCAAGGAGCGAGCACATATTTTGATTTTGTGCTAAGAGTACTCGCTTTAAAATACAAGAATTTGCAATTCCGTAAGATCTGTTTAACACTTCTTAGACACTCAATGGAAACTTGTTTTATAGGAAATGAAATCATAATTCTTTACTTTCTATCGATGTTTGAGAAGAACATAGAGTGTTTGTTGATAAATTTGTAATTCTTCAGGGCCATTTTATGTCTAAAGTAAACCTAGGTCTTTAATTTATAAATATTGTTCATCACATTATCTATTAACGGCTCTGGAATTACCACTAACTTGTCTGTACACCCGACTAGAAACCGTAAAATTTATGATACATTAATAATGGTTTTGAAAAAAATAATTCCATTTTCCGGAAAACTTAATTAGCACAAAATTCCTAACCATAATGTATAATTACTAAGATGTGTCCATTTAAACCAAATTAGGCTTTTCCTCGGATGTCGTAAAAGTTTTCTAAGACAGACAAAAATCGATATCTTTACAAGCATCCCGAGAGCGAAGACAACTAGAACCAATAGGAGGCGACTTCAGACGAACCAACCAAGTACATAAATTTGTATCCTACCTTAAAATGCATAAAGAATGATTCTTTCACTAGAAAAGAAAGCACTTTAATCTATCAGAAAATTTGAAAGCGAATTTGAATTCTTTAGATTGCTGGACCTTTGAGCGAGAAAAGAGGTAACGTACCACTTATGCCATAAATTTTCACTTTCTTTTCAGTAATTTAATTTTTTAAGCTGCAGTTCAAAATATACATAATTGTTTTCTATTGTTGATCAAAACTAATTTTCAATAATCTTGAGATTTAAGAGTTTAATTAGAGGTTTCGGCTAAAGGACCTGTGCTTGAATTTTATATTTGTTCTTAACTCGTTTCAACTATTACTAGATATTAATTTAACTGATTTTATTGCTTAAAGAATCACAATAACTAATATATATGTCTTCATTTATATTAATGAATGACCCTCTGAACATACCCATTTCACCTCCCTTTACCAACAAAAATATTGCGTAAATTTTCAAAATAATTCATAATGAAAAAAATTGACGACTCTAAACAGTAATTTTTTTTATTTCTTACTTTTTAAACCTTTTTTTTTAAAAGACTTCATTCATCTAATAATTGTTTTCAAAAATTCTCCGAAAACAAAAGTTGAAAGCTACCGATATTTTATTTCTGATGGTATCATTATAATATCATACCATCTATTTAGAAGATATGTGCTATAAGCATTTCATTATTTATAACATGCTGTACAAGGAGACAAAAGAGTTTATAACGCCTCTACTTCTTATTTATACTAATCGCTATCTGACGAACCGAATAAAAAGGGATGGGAATGACTTAATCCCCCTCACGCTGTTCGTTTAAGGCGATAAACATAACTGGTACTGCTTAATTCGACTTTATCTGACAACGAAATTAAATACTTTATCAGGTATTAAACTTGTAGCGAGGGATGTATTAAGAGAGATTGTCTCTGATAATTAACAAATTATATGTGGTAAAACAAAATGTTTCATCTAAATTAGAGTCGTATTTTTTACACTTATAATGTAGCATATTATTAAAATTATGACTCAAAAGAAAGCCAGTATTCTGTATATATTATTTTTCTTCTTATAGTTTTTATTACAGTTTTTCTTTCATTTTAATCCTCACAATTTTTTAATCATAAAAAGAAAAATAATGTATGCTAAGAATGTAAAATAAAATATAATTATGTAACAATGTAGAAATCAAATTCTAGTATCCGAAAAAATAAATTTACGGCAAAATATAAATAATAGAATAATATTTTTTTTAAAGAAAATTCCGAAGAATTTGTAATAGAAGGATTGCTACTTTAACAAATTTTCTCACAAAAATGAGATAAATTACCAGTCACTACTTACAAACAAAATATTATAAACTTATTCAAAATCACTTAAACTGCAGATATATATTAGGTTTATGTGTTTATTTCAAAGACATTCTGAAAACTAATAAAAATCATATGATAATTTATCAAGACCATGATATGAAAAATAAAGATTCGAAAAAAAGTATTGTCAAATCTTAAGTCATTTTCTAAT